GCTGGAGAGGGGACTCCAAGGGAGAGAAAAGGCACAGCATGGTGGGCAGAGCAGTGGTCCCAAGGGGCCACAGTGTGGGTGGCACAGCAGGGTCTCAGCTGCCAGGCTGCACAGGTGCAAAGAGCCTGGGTGGCTGACATCCCGGCACTGGGGCAGGTGATGCCCAGAAGCCCATATCTGGTATCCCCACTGGCAGGCAGCACTCACTCATTCATTCATTCGTTCGTTCATTCATTCATTCATCTATTATTTACTGAGCGTCTCCAAACATTCCAGGCACTGCGCTGGGTTTTGGAGTTTCAACTGCGAACCAGATAGACATGGTTTGTGCCCTCGTTGAGCCTCATAATTGAGGAGGAGACACAGGAGGGCTCCTTAGCATGGCCTTCATGGCCCCCCGAAATCTAACCAACCCACCTTCTCCACTAGGGTGCCCACTTTCAGGCTCACTGTCCTCCTCCCTTGGCCAAGACTTGATCTTGTCCCTGCACTGTGTCCTCATGACGTCTCCCCTCCTTTAGGGCCTCCCCCTGGCCACTTTGCCCATTAGCTCAAGGTGCAGCTTACTCCTCCCCGCCCGCATGAGGCCTGCCAGAGCAAGTCAGTGGGCGGTGGTCCAGAAGGAAGCCTGGTGTTCCCTGAAGTCAACTCACACCCCACCAGGCTGCCGCCACTCCAGGCTCTCCTGGAGGGGTGGAGGGAGCCCTTACCAGCAGGCCCCAACCAAGATCTTTCCTGGCTGTGTGACCTGGGACAAGTCTTGCCACCTCTCCATGCCTGTCCCCTCCTCTGTGAGATGGCAGGGACTCCAGAACAACCTTGGCTTGGCTTTGGTCCCTCCTGGACTGCCCCCAACCCCACGCCCTGGGCCACCCTGTCCTCACACAGCCCTCTGGGCTGGGGCCCAGGACCCAAACAGGGAAGCCTGGATAAGTTGCCTCTTGCTGCCCCCTGATCTGGTTTGCGGCGGGGAAGAAGGCAGAGGCTGGGGGAGCACACGGGTGCTGCGTGGCCCACTCCCCTTGAGTGGGGTTCACATCCCCAGCTCAGGAATGGTCATGGGTGGCCCCAGCTCCCATGTCCTGAAAACTCTGTGCAGCACAACGGGAGATGGGGAGGCCATGGAGAGAGGGTGTAATCGGGCACCTGTGTCCCTGACACCATATCCCCTTTTGAGCCAGGTAGAGATAGGATGAGCAGGAAACATGAGCTGAAAAAGGATGCTGATGGGGAAGCAGAAATGGAGACATGAAATGGGGTGGGGGTCGTGTCTGCATGTGAAGCGCCTTGGATGTTGATGCGGTCTGTGTGCTTGTGTACACGTTTGTTTTGCATCTCGTGTGTGCTTATGTGTGTTCACGTGTACTTGTTTGTTGGCAAGTACGTGCCTATATGTGCTCACATGGGCATGTCTTCGGAGCTCTGTGGCATCTTTGCTTGCATTTGTATGTGCTTTGGTGTTGACAGTGTGTACTTGCACACGTGTGTGTCTTGGGGTGGGGAGGGGCTGGTTGATGCCCACCCCCTCCACCTTACTATGGACTGGCCATGGTTGGGGCCCAGCCCAGTTTCTGGTTTAGGGACTCACCCAGTCTGTGGCACTGGCACCGGGTCCTAAGTCGGGCCGGATTTATAGCCGAGAGACTCCCTGTCCTCTACTCCCCTCCTCCAAGGCTGGAACCAGCTGGAGCCGCCCACCTCCCACATGGAGCCCCCACCAGGCTGTGGACAGCCCCCGGGCCTGCCGCTCAAGACTGTGCTGGGTACAGCCAGGCTCCGGGGCCAGCAGAGCTGCTCCACCGACACCCACCCACGAAGGAGCAGTGGTGGAGGCTGGGAGTGGGGGCACAGCAGCTGAGCCACTAGTCTACCTGCCTCCCTGTGGGCCAGGCTGGGCTGCAAGGTGCAGATGACATCCCCAGCCTGGGGCTGCTGCCACCTTTCTGCCTGTGTGACCTTGGGCAGCTCATGCACCCTCTCTGGGTCCAGTTTCCTTATGTAAAAAATAAAGGGCAGTGCTAGCAGGACCACAATGTACAGTTGTCGTGTTGTACTCAACAAACACACCTAGCTGAGGTGACGAAAGGTGCTGAGAGCCAGCCCAGATTCTGCCTTGAGGGCTGGGGGACCTGGCACTGGGCTGCAGCGCCTGCAGGAGGGGATGCCTGTTTCTTCCTGCAGGATGTTGGCTCATTAGGGCCTGTGCTCCTATGGGGCATCCACCCAGGGGACACCTCGTTCTTATTCTCACAAAGTGGCTGTCCTGCTCTGGTCGCCTTAGCTGGCGGAGGGGGACACCAGCTTCCCTGTCCTCTCTCAGTGTCAGGGTCCGAGTGTCCATTCATGCGGATTCTCCTCTGTCTCTCTGGAGACATCTCCACCACTCTTCCTGCCCCACCGCTGGCCTCCCCTCTCTTTTAAGCCATTCATTGTGGGACCCAGAAGGACCCTAACCCCCCTCCCCATTTTATAGACCAGGCAACTCAGGCCCAGCGAGGACTTGGGGACTTGCAGAGACTTGCCCCTCAACCCACGTCCTTGCCCACCTCTGCCTCCACTTCCCCTCTCTGGCCCTCCTGCCCCTTCCCTGGGGTCCTGCCATCCACGCCTGACTGAGGACCCCTTTACAGGACAGGAAACTGAGAAGGAAGTGCTTTGTCCACAGAGTCACCCAGGGGCCCCTGAGTCCACATCTGGCCCTAGCCCCTCCACCCCTGCACCCATCGCCCCAGCTCACCCCTCCTTTTCCATCCACCCCAGCAGCAACTGCAGCGACTGTCACGCGTCTCCTTCAGTGCTCTTTATTTCATTAGGAAACTAGCTGGGGGAGTCCCAGTGGGGGGGGGGGGGAAAGAGGGGACAGTAGCCCAGCTCCAGCTCCTGTCCTGTTTGGTTGGCAAGCCTGTGGGTGAAGGAACAGAGACGAGGCCTGAGTGAGGGGCTCTGGGGTGGTTCTGTGCACTCCCCACCCCCAGGAAGCCCCCTGATCTCCCAGATCCCAATCTGGGGCTGGGGTCCCCCAGGCAGGGCTTGCTTGACCTGGGGCTTGGGAGGCAGGGCTGGCTCAAGACGGACTTCCCACACGGGGAGCAGCTGTGGGTGGGGGTTCCCAGCCGTTTCCTTACCGAGGCCTCAGGCTCAGCTGGGTGGCATGAAGTGGCTGCTGTGAGGTGTTTCTCGGTAGAAGGGGTCCGCTGAGCTCAGGGTTCTGTGGGGAGGGAAGGAGGGAGGGAAGGAGGGAGGGGTGGGGCGGCCGAGCCTGAACCTTCTCTTCTGCCTGCCCCTCCCCAGAGCGTGGCTGGGCTCAGCCAGGGCAGCCAAGCCACAAACATCCTCTGCCTGCCAACTCTGGTCATTGTTGGGACAAATGTAATTTTTGAGGAATTTGAGCAGAAAGCAGTCACAGGTGAGGCAGAACCACAGTCCATTCATTTTGGATTGGTCCCCCACTCCCCCTGCAGCCCACAGCCACCAGGAAGCAAAGGGACAGGTGGGGGGATGAGGGGGGGTCGGAGAGCAGCTATGGTGGGGGAGGGTTGCTGGAGAAAGGAGGGGCAGACGGACGGGGACAGACGCAGGAAGGCAGGCCTGGAGCAGGGCCTGGATGAGGCTGGGACTTGAGGGGGAGGGAGAAGGGTCGGAGCTGGGGTGGGCGGTGCTACCTTCCCACGTGGGGGTGCAGGTGCCGCAGGCTCTCCATGGGGCTGGGGGTGGCCTCCATGCGGGTGACTGGCTGGTTGAGGGCGTAGCCTCCCGGTGTCTGGGGCTGGATGCCACCCCGAGTCCAGCCTTCCCTGTCTAGACCCTTGGGGATGTTCTCAAAGTACCTGGAGCGGAGGAAGGGTTGTTGGGGGGAAGCCGGCCTCTGCTCACCCCCTCAGCCTCTCCTGCCCTCCAACATCCTCGCCTTTTCCCATGCTGTCCCCTGTGCCTGGCACTCCCTGAGTCCTGTCCACCTGGGGGACTCTCACTCAGGAAGCCTGCCCACCCCTGTCCCCTGAGCTGGATGCTGCCCCCCCACACACACACATCCTGAGGCCCAGACAGCACTTTGGAGCATGAAAGTGAAAGGACTGTTCACTGATGCCTCCTTCCCTGGCCGCCAGCATCTCAGGGCTGGGACCCTGTCATCCTTTTCTTTCTAGACATTTGACTTTCCTTCCATTTCACCAATATATTTGCTGAGCACTGGGCCAGGTTCTGAGGGTGCAGAGACAAGTGAGACGTGGGCCCCGCCCTTGAACTTCTGAAGACGGGGTGCAGGTGGACCAAGGAGGAAATCAGGGATTACACCCTCAGGGGCTCTGGGTGCACCAGCAAAGACCAGCGAGTGTGCCTGACACGTGGCAGGAGCTGGGGGAGGGTCCAGCAGAGCTGGTTGGGGGTCTGCTGGAGCCACAGGAAGAGGGCATCTGCTTAAGGAGGAGTAGGGACAGTTGTCCCTCGACATCAGAGCCTCTGCCCTACCCCCTCACCCCCGTGGGAACTGGAGCAGCCACACACGTGCCACAAAGCTGCTGTGTGGCTCAGGCATCCCTTCTCCCCTCTGAGCCTCAGGGTCCCTGTCCCAAAGGAGAGGGGTTTAGCCCGGAGGATGACCAAACCCTTCCAGCCCAGACTCTGTGGTTGCCTTCGCACAAGCTGTCCCCTCAGCCAGAACACTCTTCCCAAGCTGTCCTCGCCTCTTTTCAGTCTCAGCACAAACGTCACCTTCTCAAGACGGCCTACCCTCACCAGCAGGTTCAAACTCCGATCTGTGCCCCGTGCACCCCTCCTACCCTCTGGTCCCTGCTCACCACCTAACACACTCCAGCCCTCACGTGTCAATCACGTTTACTGAGCATCGCTCCTCCCCTGCAGGGCAGGGGCTTTACGCGTATTCCCAGGGCCTAGAACAGCGCCTGGCACCAAGTCAGGGCTCAGCGAAAGTCTGTTGAATGAATGACTTCCTCAAGGTATCTTGGCACAGGGGCAGGAGAGACAGGTGTGGAGCTGGGCAGGGAGGGGAGAGCGGGAGCTTGAGAAACAGGGAGGGGGTGGGGCAGTGTGGACACAGATGACCGACACTGTGAAGAGAGGCTTGGGTTTCCCAGCTCAGAGGATTTTGTCCTCAGAATTACACTTTACAGCATCCTGTAATGCCCTCCCCACCCAGTCCTGGCCCCAGGAGGCTTCCCCATGACTCTAGGGCCACCTCCTCCTGGAAGCCCTCCCTGATGCCCAGGACACTCTCCCCTCACCCAGGGTTCACACAGCACAGAGCTCACCCTTCAAGGGAGCACGGAGCCCGTGGCACGGACTGGATATGGTGTATTAGCAGATGCTGTTGCTGCTCCAGACCTCCCGGCCCCCTTATTCTTCCCATGCCCACTGGCCTGGCCACCAATGTCTTGCATCTCTTGGGGAAAGCTACCCTTGGGTTGCTGGAACCTGCTTTGCCTGAGCAAGGGGGTAGCTGAGATTTCATGTTGCACCTGGGGTCAGCCGTTAACCGATGACTGGTGGACGTGGGGTATAAATTCTCCAGCTCTCTCACCCTTTAGCTGGGATGATTCTGAGTTGTGGTTTTACACTGTTTTCTAGAGTCTCTCCTGGACAGCTGGCTTAATAACACACCTGTCATTGGCTGCCCGCCCCTCTCCTTCCCACCCCCCACCCCCAACCTCCCAGTAAAGTGCTTGCACTCAAATCCTTGGCTTAGTGTCTGCCTCTGGGGGAGCCCACACTAATTCAGCGTTGGTCTACACAAGGCTGTGAGCTCATTACTAGTCCAGTCTCAGTCTCCTTGTCTGTCAAATGGGTTTCAGCTTCGGGCCAGGAAGGGGGCCTCACCCTTGGTTGTAGGTGGTCAGGTACCGATTATCCCGGTCAGGGTCATAGGGGCTCCGGACATAGCTGGGGTTGTTAAGGCTGAATCCCGTGGGCTCCTGCACAAGATGGGTAGACAGGGGAGATGTCAGGTCAGGAGGGGTGGGGATGGGGGGGATGGGAGCGGCAGGCCTCACCGTTTTATTTCTTCTTTTTTTTTTATTTTGAAAGATGACCGGTAAGGGGAACTTAACCCTTGACTTGGTGTTGTCAGCACCACGCTCTCTCAAGTGAGCCATGGGCTGGCCCAGGCCTCACCTTTTTCCCCACCGTCTCCCTGCCAAGCATGGCAACATTTGTCTGTTGCATCCGCTGGGGTGGCTGGAATTGCCGGTGGCCCATGCTGCTGGGTTCTGGGCCAGGAGGGGGCACCTACAGGGGACAGAGCCACAAGAAGGGAGGCAGGGTGGCCAGGCTGAGGCAGCAGAGACAGAGAGAGGGGAGAGGGCAGGCAGAGGCCCTCGCAGCCCCGACCTGCCCCCAGCCCCAGGGATGACCTTCCCCTGCCAGGACTTGCTGTTTCAGAACACACCCTCGCCTTCCAGCCCCAGGCCTCAGCCCTCCTCCTCGGAGGCCCTTCTTCCACATCTCCAAATACCCTCACTCTTTCCAGTCTTCAGGGCCTGGCCCCAGTGCCACCTTGTCCAGGAAGCCTCCCTGCCTCCTCCCTTCTGTGAGGGAGGCTTCCAGGTCACTCACTCTGGGGTTCAGAGTCCCACTCACTCGGCTGAAGCCAGACTCCCGCTCAGAGCCTCTGGCCAACACAGGTAGGAACTCGTCTCCCTGGAGGGGCAGAGCAGCCGCTGGCACCAGAGTGTGGCCCTTCCCGCCACGGCCCTCCCAGAGCCACGTCCTCACTGCCCCTCAGGTGGGCAGCCCCCAACCTCCCCCCGGTCAGCTTACATGAGGGTGAGTCATGGGGGGGAAGTCCGACTTGGTGACGCTCCGGCCTGGGAGGAGGACCTGGAAGGAGGCAGCAGAGGAGCGTCAGCCTGGCAGAGGCGGCCTGCCCTGTCCCCAGGGAGGCCAGCAGCCCCCACGCACTCTGTCTCCAGGCCCCACTGAGCTGGGCACAAATGGGCATAAGCAGGTAACTGAGGAAAGGGAAGAGTTTAGGGAGAAGTGAGGGGCGGGAGGGAGGACTCTGAATGGGCACCAGTAGGCCGGAATTCTTGTCTGAACTCTCAGCGGCCCTGGCTCCCCCTTTACCTCTTCAGACCTCAGTCTTCTCATCTATAAAATGGGGGAGTTGGACCAAAGCAGTGGTGTCAGCCAAGCTTTTTCATCTTGTGGTTGATCTAAGGGCTTTGCAGTTCACATTTTTTTTTTAAAGCTAGAACCCCCTAGACTGGAGGGCTCCAATCACCCTGAGATTCTAGCAGGGGCCCAGCGGACTTACGGGGTCCCCAGGGAGGGCCTGGGAGGGTGGCTGGAAGATAATAGGGTTCTTGTGGGTCTGTTCGGTGAAGCCAGTTTCCTCCTTGGTGCCGACGGTTGTCTTCTGCAAGACGTCTGCCAAAGACAGTCCCCCGCAAAGTGCTGCCTGGGGCCACCCGGCCCCACCCACATGGCCTCAGAGGCTAAATGTCCCAGTGGGCGGAGAGGAAGCTGACTCCAAAGATCTGGAGACCTGAGCCAGGAGGACTGTGGGCACCAGGGGAAGGACCCCAGAGTCCAGGCCAGGCAGTGAGAGGAGAAGGGCAGAAAGGGCAAGAGCTGACAGGCCAGGAGCCAGCGTGGTCAGCCCAAGTGGCTCTCCCGTGCGAGCCTTTGGGGGCCAGCAGGCCTAAGGCACTAGGTCAGCCTGGAAGGACAGTGTCCTCAAGCTGCCTGTGTGTCCTTCTGCTGGTACCTTCTTAGTCCTATGCCAGATCCGGGTGCCCCTGGGGGTCTCTCCCAAGTGTAGGAGGTAGGGAGGTGCATTGGGAGGGAGGCGTTGAATTCAGACATGGGCCTACCTGGCTGGTTTAAAGGCTCCTTGAGATACTTGGAGCTGTATTCGGAAGTCATGAAGCGTGGGCCCTGGGACAGAGGGTGGAGCGATGGGAGACATAAGCTAGACCAGGACCTGGAAGGCGTTCGGCAGTGGTGGTGGCGGCTCTGGGGTTATCTGTGCACTGAATAGGCCTGTGTGGTATATTCTGAGCAGAGAGGGCCAGTGAGCACCCCGGACACAAATCTCTCCCCGAGGGGGCATCACAGTGCCAAAATTCCACCATGAGAGCACAGTTCCCTGTGACAAGAATACTAAGTCACATACCACAAGGGACTCTTCGTATTGAGAAACGGGCCCAGAGGGACCCAGACCAGGAAGGGCTGAAAGGAGAAGAGAAAGGCTGATGGAAGGAAATGGATGCCCACTCCAAAATGCATTGCTCTGGGCTGGCCTGTGGCTCACTCGGGAGAGTGGGGTGCTGATAACACCAAGGCCACGGGTTCGGATCCCATATAGGGATGGCCGGTTCGCTCACTGGCTGAGCGTGGTGCTGACAAAATGCATTGCTCTGGGCCCAGGCATCCGGAAGGAAGGCGTAGAGGAGAGAAGGGAGCCTAGGTGTGAAATCCTAAGATACGTGTAAGGACGCCCGCCACGACCACTGCGATGCTGTTTTTGCAATGTCAAGTGTCAAACCCTTTGGTCTCCCAGTCTTTCTTGAGGCCTCATTTAGTCGGCTTCTTGGGTGAGTCAGTGCAGTACTTGTCTCCAGGAGGGGGAGCATGGGGGTGTGGCCCCTGTGCCCAGCCCCCAGCCCTCAGCTGGCTGCCACTCACGCCACTCACGTATCGCGAGTTCTCCCACTCCAGCGAGCCTTTGCCCTGCAGCTGGTGGAGCAGGGGCACCTCCCTCCGCTCCAGCCCCGTGATGGCCTGGGGCCCATGCTCCTGGGTGTCAAAATGGACCTTCCTGACCTGGGAGGAGGGGTACCCCATGGCTGGGTTGTCCAGGGCATCCAGACTGGCTTGGTATGAGATCACAGGCCGGTAATTTGATTTGTAGCCTGTGCCTACATGACTGCCTGTGCGGGGCTTGAACTCCTCCCGACCTGCCAAAAGGGAAATGGGGAGAGAGACAGGACCATGGGTCAGCAGAGGTGGGGGAAGAGTGAGCAGGGGCTTCCCAGGCAGGGTCAGCGTCCCACCAAGGGGCCCAGGGGTCATCGTGACAGGGAAGGCTGAGAGCCACCAGCAGGAGTGAGTGTGATAGGAGCTGGGCAAGCCTGGCCCCTCAGGACTGAGACAGAGGAAATGGAGTCCATGGGGTGGGGACGAGGTCAGTGTGGCAGAGTCAGAGTGACCAAACCAGGGAGGGGCAGCCAGACAGGCCAGCCTGACAGTGCGGGTCCTCAGGGAAAGGACCGATTCCATACAATGGGGTCCCTTTGCAGTGTGACCGACCAGAGGGGCTGCTCCTCTCCCTTCCCGCCAGTGTCCTGGAGGTAGCGCTGGCACAAAGGGGCCCTCACCGTAGGCTGTGCAGTAGCTGGGCAATGGGGTCCCTTTGCAGTGTGACCGACCAGAGGGGCTGCTCCTCTCCCTTCCCACCAGTGTCCTGGAGGTAGCGCTGGCACAAAGGGGCCCTCACCGTAGGCTGTGCAGTAGCTGGTGGCGTAGAACTTCAGGGGGTCCGTACAGCCCCCCGAACTCATCTTCACATAAGGGGAGACCACCCCCAGGGGGAGTTTCCCCATCATGATGCCGCGGGGCAGGCCCCCGAGGGCCTGGGGAGCAAGCAGAAGAAGCCTCGTCAGTTCCAAGCCCAGGCTCAGAAGACCACAGTCGTGACCATCGCCCCCACAGCCGTCCCTTCTCCCAGGCCTCAGTCCCTCTGTCCTGACAGTCATACCCCCAAACCGAGGAAAATGTCCATCAACACTTATCTCATGGCTTCCTGTGTCTCATTTCACCTTCTCAACACCTGACTATTAACTCACATCCCCACTTTACAGCTGGTAAACCGAGGTTTCAAGGGATGAAGGGTTTGCTCATAAGAGGCGGGACAGCTGGGATTCAGACCTAAGGTATCTGACTCCTGGCTCCTGATCTAACCACCACACACCCTCCTCTAGGGGAATGGGTGGCCCAGCAACCTACCACCTGGGGAACTCTTGGCCACTCAGCTCCGACGTGCACTCCCCGCCCCAAGCTCCACCTTGCCTTGTCCACCTCCCGCTGAAAGTTGGCTGTGCTCTCCTGGGGCCCAAGCGCAGCTGGTCCCACCCTCACCTGCCCTCCGCAGTGGCTCTGAGGTGGGTGAGAGGCTGCAGGAAGCAGGAGCTGCTCCAGACAAGCAGGGGACCGTCCCCGAGGTGGCCAAGCCTGGAGAAACAGTGCGTTGCCTAGCAACCGGCACTTAGCAACAGCGTCCCCACACCTCTGAAGCCCTTCTAGAGCCAGGGCCCACCGAGGGGCTGACCTGGCCAGGAGGGGAGGGCCAAGAGCTGCCCAGGCAAGGCCCTAGCTCCACGGCTCCGATCCCCATCCTGTCTCCTTCCACAGGGCCAGGAAGAGTCGCCATCTGAGTGACATGAAATAAAAGATAATCCCTAACAATCACTCCCATTTATTGAGTGCCCACTTTTCCACCAGACACTTTACATCCTTTATCTCCATCCTCTGAGCAGCTCTTCCAGGAAGCTATTATTATTCCTAGTTTCACATGGGGAACATGAGGCTTGGACAAGCAACGTGACTTGACTGGCCGGAGACCTCGCCATCAGAAAACAGCCGAGTTGAGATTCAAACGTGGGTGGATCCAGATCCCACTCCTATGCCTCTTGGTAAATTAATGTTTATGATATTCTGCTAGAGCCAAATCTGTGCTGAGCCCTTTTACACACATTATCTCGTACAATGCCCCAAACCACCCTGCGAACTGGGTACTATTATCACAATGCCAATAAACCTTAGTGGTTAAAAGTGTGGCTCAAAAAAAAAAGAAAGAAAGAAAAAGAAAAGAAACAACAGAAAAAAAAAAGCGTGGCTCACATTTGATCTGTCACCTTTGATGAGGTACCTGTTGTCCTCTTAATGCCCCTGTCTCCCCATCTTAACCGAGGATGTAAGTGCATGCACCTCACAGGGCTGCTGGCAGCTTTAATGAGAGCATGGATTCAGCACCTGGCAGAGAGTAGATGCTCAGGTTTTAAAGCTGCTGTTCTCTAGCCTTACTTTACAAGCAGGAAGGGTGAGGCTCACGGGCAAAGAGCCCAGGCCACTCAATGGATGGAGGCAGAGCTCGGACTCAAATCCGAGTGAGCCAGCTCCATAGTCTAGTCCTTCTGTGACAGCCCCTCTGGCTCAAGTTGCCTTGCAGTCTCCTAATACTACAACGGTTGGATCTGGGAAGGGGGGGTGGAGCCCTGATTTGTAGCATTTGCCAATTTCTGTGGTGTAAATACTCTCATCACACTACTTGCAAACTACCAGCGCAATTTCACTGAACAGGGACTTGAGAAGTCACCTACCACACTACATGGTATTTCCATCATGCAGATATGATAGACGTAAGTGACCTAGAGAGCACAAATAACAGAAAAATGCACAAAATAATTAGCAGCTGAGTTTTAAGTATGTATTATCTTTGTTTAAATATAATTTATTTAACTGTAAGTTTACGCAATTTAATTTTTAACAATAGCAGAGTTTAACAACCAATGCCTCCAGGCTGGTATGAGCAGCCTCCAGTGCACCCCTGCTGTTAAGGGACAGTGAGGTATGAATGAAAGGAAAGGTGCTGCCCTCACCTGGGAGGTGCCCTCACCGCACCCACTCTACAGTGACCCCAGGGAGGAGCCTGGTGGCCACAATTGACCCCCCACAGAGAGGCCCTGAGACTCAGAGGTGACTAAGACCTAGAGAGGGCCACGGAGGAAGCAGAAGGGTGTTAGGCACCAACCCTTCAGAGTAACAGCTCTGTTCAGGGATCAGAGGCTGCGAGGACATGGGAGTATATGCACACACCTGGTCTACTGACAGCGGCTCACGGGACCTCCACTCATGAGACACGGGAAGGGTGAGACCACCATAGTGGGGTGGTCGCTCAGGGCAAAGGGAGAGAGTGGCCCTCCTCAAAGTGTGTCTGGAGGAGTGGTTACGAGCAAGCGCTCACGACTCTGGAGCCAGATGTGGGCCCTGGCTCTACCACGAAATAACTGTAAGACTTGGTGCATGTTACTTGTGCCTTGGTTTCTCCTTCTGGAGAATGGGGGTAATAACGGTACCTACCTGTGGGGTTGTGATCCACATGAAGCACTTAGCCCAGTACCTGGTGCATGGTAAGTGCCTTCTAAGAGATAGGGAAAATCCCTGAAAAGAGGTGCCTTTTGCGTATTCACTGCCTGCTAGGCAGAGGGTTGGGCCCAAGGGTCATAAACAGGAATTCCACACGGCCCTGCTCTCAGGGAGCCCACAGTTCAGGGGGAAATTCAGACATAGCCAGTGTGATTCAGTGAGAGAAAGCTCAATTTGGAATTCAGACATAGCCAGTGTGATTCAGTGAGAGAAAGCTCAATTTGGAAGCCTGAGCTCAACCTGCTTCTGCTGGGTGACCTGGCTTCACCTCTCTGATCCTGTTTCTGCACCTGTAGGCAGGGAGTAACCACTAACCCTTGCAGTAACCAGTAACCCTTGCAGGGTCGCTGGTGGATTTGAAATACCCCAGGCAGTGTCTGGCAGGTAGTAGGCCTGCACAGGCAGAGATCAAGGCGGGCGCTCCACGTGGAAGGCCCGGTAAGAGTAAAGGTGTGGAAGTGCCTGGCAGGCTGGGAGAAGTGACGGGTGGGTGTGGCTGGAGCCCCAGCTGGGAGAAGCAGCCTGCGGGAAGGCTGTGACAGGTGGAGGGGTGGGGACGGGGGCGGAAGTTGTGGTGGAAAGGTTTGAAATCGTCCCTTAGGGGGTCCTTAGGGAAGCTCTTGGGCTTCTGGGGACTGCCTGGGCTGTTGGGAAGGACTTGGGCAGGAGTGGCAGGAGGCGGCGGCTCTCCCAGTCTGAGCTCCCTCTAGGTCCGGCAGCGGGCGGTCCTCCAGGCGCCCTGTGGTTTTTTTGCTGTGTGGAGACACCCACCGGCCATAATTGGGAACTGCAGGGGATGCCTCAGGTGCTGCCCTAACAAGGCTTGGGGGTGCTCCTGAAGGGGCGCTAGGAGGGGGCAGAGTGGCTACTCGCCCAGCCACTGCCCGCCCGGCCTCACCCTCGCCCCCCACTCTCCAGAAAGAAGGGGCAGGACTGGGCAAGGAGCTGGAAGGGCAAGGGCTGGAGCCCACATAGGGTGGGAACCTAGGGTACAGTCACTGGGACGTGGGTCCCTGTGGTAACCAAATTGCTTGGTGACTTTTGAACCTATCACCTCTGGGCCTCAGTTTATGTATCTGTAAAATGAAGGAACAGACTAAACAGTCCTTCCAGATTTGAGCGTAAATTGGAAATCCTGGGCCCCCCTCACCCACTTTCTGCCCATAACTGACTCCATTTATCAAGCCCTTTCTCCATGTGTGGCACTCACAATTTTTGCTCCAGCCCTACAAGAAGGAACTGTTGTTATTATGCCCATTTAACATATGAGGACACTGCCTGAGGCCTCACAGGCAGGAAGGGATGGAGCTGGGTTCCAAAGCCAGGTTTGACTCCGGAATCTGCACCCTTCCTGCTGGAACAAGCCAGCAAATTCTCTGTAAAGTGCTGGGCCATAACAGTGGGCTCTCACACCACTTGATGAAGCTCAGTGATTTTCCAAAGGGACGGACTGCCCTGACCAGATGGGCAACCACCTTCTCCTTTCTAGACCTGCCCAGTCCTGAACAGTAAAATTCACTCTTGGATTTTTTTTTTTTTTTTAAAGATGACCAGTAAGGGGAGCTTAACCCTTGACTTGGTGTTGTCAGTACCACACTCACCCAGTGAACTAATCGGCCATCCCTATATGGGATCTGAACCCATGGCCTTGGTGTTATCAGCACCACACTCTCCTGAGTGAGCCACAGGCCGGCCTCAAGATTCATTCTTGTTTCCCTCCCATAAGAAGGCAGGGGCTACAGATACTTGTGGGCTAGCCCTGGACACCCTGGACCAGCACCTGCCTCCCCTCTGAAGCCTGGAAAGTGGAGGCTCAGAACCCAGCGAGAGGACACCCCAAGCCCAATGGGGACAGGCCCTACCAGGCCTCCGAGGCCAGAGGGCACCACCCTTGGACTGTTGAATTATGGTCAAGGACAGACATCTGCACTCTGTGCTCTGGGCTGTGTGGGCAGCAGTTAATCAAAGGGGAATTAACTCAAGCAAATGAACCAGCACACCACCAAGCGTGTGTCATTTTGCTTTGGCTGATGTGTCTTTATGGCTGGCCTCAGAGGGCAGAACCAGGACTTGTCAGGAAGAGACAGGTCAGCGGACTTCAGCTTAATGGAAGGAAGAGCTTCCTAACACACCAAACCATCTATTAGGGGAATAGGCTGCCCTGGGGGAAGTGAGTTCCCCATCCCAGGAGGCATTCAAGCAGGAGTTTGATAGTGTAACAATAACAGCAAACT